CCTCCCTCCCTCCCTCTCCTTCCTTCCTCCCTCCCTCCCTCCATTTCCTTCCTCCCTCCCTCCTTTCCTCCTTCCTTCCCTCCCTCCTTCCTTCCCTCCCTCCTTCCTCTCTTCTCTCCCCTTCCTCCCTCCCTCCCTCCCTCCCTCTTTCTCCTCACCACCCTCCTCTCCTCCCTCTCTGTCACATCATTTTCAGGTCTACCTGCCCTCTTCCTTTTCCTTTCTACCTTTTGTACCTTAGAGGCAGATGAACTCACATATCCCAAATGACTTTCTAAATAGTTTTTGGCCTTTTTTTTTTTTTCTTAATGTATATTGGGGCCAGACCCAGCCTGGGATTCCTTTTCATTTTCCACTTTCACATCTTGGTTTCAAAGTGTTTAGCCTTTGCTACGCCCATGTTCCCTCCTCAGACAGCTGCCCTTCACGACTCCCCCCTGCCCCTGACTGATCCTATTGTAAGAAGTGCAAGTCATGATAGAATTCTAAAAGCACATGAAATTCTTATCTGGCTTTCTGTCCGATTGTGTGGGAAATTCTGTAGCCCATTTGAAAGAAAAATAGCCAGCAGTGCGCAATATTACAACCTCTATGTCCGCCATCTGTGTATGTCCCTCTCTGCCCATCTCTGTGTGAGCACACGACAGTGGCATTCAAAGGCTGTCATTCAGTTGAGGGGCTCTGCAGACATTGTGTGTTCTACTCAAGAACAAAGCTAAAGAGGTGTGTGAATGGCTGCAGGACCCGAAGATTGTGTTTCAGCCTTGATATGCAGTTTGGAGACAATGTGCTACTGTTTAACGGCGTGAACCAAATTTCTGCTAATGGGACGAAGGGAAAAACTCCACAAAAGCTGACAAAGCAGGAAGAACAGGATGACTGAGCTTGTAGATTAAAACAACCGGGGGCGTCTGAACTCTTATGGCTGGTGATGGAAGTAACAGTTTCCATATCATGGCCCCATGATCAGATGTGTGCTGCTTAGGTAAGAGAGAGACCCTCGCCTGCTTTTTCATAATGGGATCGGTACGAGGGCCAGTTTTATTTCCTAGAGGTTGAATTTGATGGTTCTCTTTGGAAGTTGACGGAAAACAGAAAAAGAAACCTTGATGAACTGAACCCTCACACATTTTCATTTTACTTGACCTTCACCTTGAATTTATTTAGATCGCTGTAGGGTTTCTTGTTGTTTCTAATATTTTGAGTTTTTCCTCAACCTGTTTAAAATGGCCACATCATACCACTTTTTAGATGCCGGTGATTTCTGCTGAGGAGGAGTGACAGGTACAAAGCACTAAATCTGAGGAGGCTTAGGAGGGTACGTTACAGCACGTTACGAGGGAAGTTACAGCACCATGGTGAGAACCAGGTCTCCGAGGAAGTCAGTTATAGTACATGTTTTAAAATGATCACGTTTCACCCCAGGATGTTATTAATTGCTTCCCCAAATCCCACATGGGCCAAAAGTAAACTTTCAGTCACCTAACAAAGTTTAAAGAAATGCATTTTAATGAGAAGTGACAAGAAAGAACTTCAGGGGCTGATAGGAAAGTTTCAAGAGAAAAATTGAGATGCAATTTCCCATTCACTGTGGAATGTCCTCTCAAAGAATAGTCACTGCTGTGTAAAATGTAACTTTGTCCTTTTTTTCTGTGAGAAAATAAGAGGTGTATAATTTTTTAACATGAAAGAAAACTACCTAAACCAAAAACCATTTAGGATGCAAATGTTGCTTGTCCTCGCTTATACATGCAGTACTTCAGTAAACTTCCTAATTATATTTATTCACAAGTTGTCCAACTCTAGCAGAGCTCTATAGATTCATAAAAGACAATAGTAGTGCAAAAACAAATTTAACGCCACTAACCCAAATGGCTTCCCACCTTCCCATGCCATCTGAGCAGAAGATTCCAGAGATTCGGTGTAGTTTTAAATTTATCCCATTAAAAATGACAGTTTCATCTTTAATGAGGTGGATATTAGCTGTCTGTTGCTTTTTAATAGGAAACTTTGCATATCAATGCCCTTTCATAAGCATATTTATCTTTATTTTTTAAAATTAGCTCTCTAATGCCCTCCCCGAGGAAGCAAACCTTCAGCAATAAAGCTACCTACTGAAAACATCCTTGTTTGACATGTTTCAGTGGGCTACGCGCACGTATGTAGAATGCTGCGACATGCATAGGACCACGTACAAGTGAGGGATTAGCCTTCTGAGAACTGCAAATTCATAATTAACTACAAAGAAGTGCTTTATGTTGCCCATTTATAACAATTATTCAAATAATTGTATTCATCAGTCTTTATACTAAGGATAAAGCCAATTAGAACTAGGAACACTTTCGACCAATCCAATTTCAGAACAGATGGATAGCGTCCCTACTCAGCCGCCTCTGTGATCCATCGTTTTACTTCTGCTTGCCCTTCAGTTGCCTGAATCCATAGGTTGGGAACTGGTGTGGACTCCGAATCCTCCCGTTTCTTTCATTGGCACCTGACCTTGAATATTGGCACCCAAGGGCCCTGATGGAAATGCTTCGAGAACTGATAATCCAGTGTCTTATTTTCACAACACCCAGCCAGCTATCGATGCTCATTTGACTTCCTGATAAGATGTCTTGCACAAGCTTAGCTTTTCCTGACTATTTCTCCTTGAGTGTTTCTGTTCATTCAGTTGTTTGCTTTTTTTCAATAGTGCGATCAGTGTGACATTGTTTGTTTGCCGAGCATTTGTTTTGGTGCTTTTGTGCTCTGGCTGGCGGTGCACTGAGCATCACTCCCAAATCATTCGTTCAGCAAATATTTGGAGTAGACTTGGTGTTTGGCTATGAAAGGATGAAACAATGAAAAAAAACAAGACATGCCCCCCCCCAAAAAAAACTCGCTATTTAATAGGTCCACAGGTTATCTTCAAACGTGACAATCCCATTCAAGAAGTCTTAGCAAAGTGTACGAATTAGAGGCCCTAGGGCACCAGGTGAGATTTTGAGCAAAACAACAAAGAGCAAGCAAAGGCCACCTGGATTGTCTAACGTTTTGTGGTGTTTCCTAAACGTCGTTAAAGGATCAGCCTGCAAATAAAGCATGAGCACCTGGAAGCCATCCCCTAGGTGAGCCTCCCTCTGAGCCTGCTCTCCTCTCTCTTAATTCCAATCCGAGTCAGCTGAGAGCCGCCACAGTCCCACAGCTGTCCAGGTGGCCAACATCCGGGTGATTCCCAGACTTCAAACCCCTCCTTGATTATCTCCTGGCCTAACTGCTTTCTCAGCTTTGAGGGTTTTACTTTTGCAGGAATACCACTGATTTTAGAAATTCTCTTTTGCAAAAGATCACTTTGTGAATCAGACTTTCTGATGAAGGCATCACCTGCAATCTGCAGTTTGCAGATGCTGCACCATTTTGAAATAAGTGATCCAAGATCATCGTAAATTGATAATGAACCGTGTTTGTCAGTATTGGCGAAGGATTTCAATTTGCAGTAAAATGCAAAATAAAACGTACAAATATCAGTATGTAACATCTAAATACATTTGTATTTAAGAGATCTATCAGCACATCGACAGCTAACAATCAGGCTTTATTTTTTCCTTTTGCATGCTGTTATGAATGAGTGATTTTAAACATTCACCTTCATGTTTCATGTGCTTTGAAAGTGGAGACTGAGGAATCTTGCTGCCTCGATTGTGTATCGATAACAAAATGAAATGATTGGAGAAACGTACTGACAGATGACTACATTCAAGCTATCCAAAAAAAAAAAAAAGAGAGAGAGAGAGAGAGTCATAGCAAGAGATTTGGCTCATGTTTTTTAAGAAATTCATCCTCAGTTCTTAAGTGTTTTGTTTATGTCCCTTGAGGAATGAAAAGAAAAAACGATTTGTTTTTACTTGTAAGGCCTTACTCAGTTGCCCAATTCCGCAGAAGAACTGGACAGTGAGGACCTCTCAGGTAAGGGCTAGTCATTAGGTAAGGCGCTACAGTGTCCAACCTGTGGGTGCTCCGTCCACTTTCACAGACTGGCCATTTGGTGGGCTGAACAGCCCATTAGCAATCGTGGATTTTGACACTAAGACAAATGGTTACTAACGCTTTCTTCCTCCCCACCTACCCCTCTTCCCACATCAAAGAGGATGGCGACGGCATGTCTATTTCAGAGTGGGGCTGATGCCCTTGATACCGTGGAGGTCAAGCCATCTTTGGAATTGGACTCAAACCACCTTAAGTGCGGTGGTTTCAGCTAAAAGTAATTTTTATGTTCTAGATAGAGAACGGTTAGAGCAAAGCTTGTTGCATCACAAAGCAGTTTAAGCATGTTGGATTATGAGACAAGATCTTTTTTAATAAACGAAACACACACACATGATATATTGACCATCTACTTCTGTGGAACAGGCTGGAAAAGCCATGTCATAGTTACCTTAGCAGTAGGGAGTGGGGAGGTGCTCGAGGAAGGGGGGCCATTGTTTTGTCACACACCGTGATGTAAACTAATTATCCACCTCAGACCTTTTTCACAGCACACTGAGCTCTTGCAAAAGTAGGTTTCATGCTTGATTCCAGGATTTAGGTGTTACTAATCCAGAATAAGAAGCATATCCTAAAAGGGAGGGTTGGGGGAGATTTAAAATGGTCAGAGCTAAACAATTCTATGAGCTCCCATGATGTTGTGGGACTTCACTGCCCGCCAGCACCACTTCTGAAACATTTTGATCAATTGCTTCTTCGTCAATCTGTAAGAAGGCCCAGTCCTCACCATTACAATGTAGAAGCCAAGTTATGGGACTGTAGACCCATGTCCAGCCTGTCGGAAGAAGGGAGGGCTCCATATTCCTTCTCAGAGAGATTACGCTGCAGCTCCTCTAATCGATAGAGCTTGAGGGGCCGAGCTTACCTAGTGAGAGGAAAAGTTAGCGCTTCCCATCTTACAAAGTACATTGACTATCTTGCTCACTATGTGCTCCCGTCAAGCATGAGCCTTTAATTTGTGTGTGTACCATGTCCCAGTTTGAGCTCAGCTACTGGGTTTTCCCACCTGGTAGAAGCTCCAGGAGGCCATGTTGGTTTTGTTCACTGCTGTTGACCTGTTGTGTGGTGAGCCCTGATTGTCAGAGGAATAAATGAATTCGAAATCCCAGTGAGTTTAGATTGTTAAATAGAAGCCAGTGGAGCCAGCCTTCAAGGGAGTCTGTGTGTTTTTGACTATTTATGATGTATTTAGAAGAGTCACAAAAACATTAGCCTGATTTTCTTTTAAACCAGGAGCATGATAAGTGCTTTCTTCCTCCTTGGAGCGCAGCGCTGGATGTGTGAGCAATCTGTGCTCTTAGCTTTGACCCTGACCCTAAATAGAACAGCTCTCTGACGCAGTATCCCTGGCAGGTGAATGTTCTCAAGGATCCTCAGAAAGCCCCGAGTTCTCCTGCACCCTGATCCTAACCGAGACAAAGATCACTGTGCTCCGTGGAAGTAATTTTTCTAGGACTAAGCCAGCCAACCACGCTTGCCCCAGCATCATCAATTAGGGACTACTTCATTCTCTCCGCTCTGCACCGAGTCAGTTTCAGCCTTGCCACAGTCCCATCAATCACCCCCGAGTCAGGAGTAATAAACCAACAACTGTTTGTGTTCATAATAATTCGGCTAAATTAATAATTATGCCACCGCCCTCTCCGCACCCACCCCCCCCACCCCCAGGAAGGTTGCGGTCATACACTGCTCAGGAGCCATGAGTCATGTAGAACACTGATGATCTGTTGGGCTGGAGCTGGGCTGCCTGTACATCTGCTTTGATGAACTAATCAAAAACTGATTAGCACCTTTGTTCAAAGGGGATGCTGATTAATCAATTACTATTGATTGTGAACTTGGCTTCCCTCGGCAGCAGAGAGACATCTGAAGGAAAAAAAAAACCAACCAATAAAAATTGAGCAGCTGTCATAGTGTTTAAATTTATTAAAACAAAATACATTATTTTTTATGAAGCTGTCTTGAAATGGGTCACTGAAGGGGAGCATATTGATTGAGAAAGGATGAACTTCTCAAATTTCTTTAGCCTAGAGACTGAATTCAATTATAATGCAAGACAAACAGGTTAACACCCGTCTTAAACAGTCCATCAATAAATTAGAGTAGGTGTTGCACATTTAATGCTAAACTGCAGTAATGAATAATATTACAGTCCATTCCCTGCTCCATCTGGGTAGGGATCCTTTCCTTATTATGAGTAAATGTTATGTCCTGAATTTCCTTTGAAATAACGAGGGTCTGTCTGCAACTTGTCCCCTGGTCCCCCCCTCCCCCAGCACCACTGCTACCTCGGCTAATGACAGTTTCATAAGCGACATATGGTACCCCCTCCTCACCCAGCAAAGCAAGTTGCCCAGCTGATCCTCCTCTTTAATCTGCATTAAAAAATTATGCTCATGTGTAGTTCAGTGATTTAATTATTGGCAGACCCGAGGAGATTATCCAGTTGACTTTGAACCCTTTCATTTACTTTTTGGGTGTTAACTTTATTGATGATGGATCCACAAGAGTTTTAAATTGTTTTATCAATTACATCTGCTGCTTCCTGGTGACAGCTGGTGGTTATTGCCACCCATGTGGAATAGAATAGCTATAAGCATATTTATCCTTCTATTTTATTTTAAAACTTAACCAAAAAAAAAAAATTCTCTAACTGCCTCTTTCCCTTCAGCAGTGCAGGGACCTTCAGGGACTGGTTAGTGGAGTGTGGTGGTAAATATATGGCAAGCCAGAGAAGGGCCCCCGGCACAATCAAAGCAATCCATCCGTCTTCTGCTTTTGCAGCAGAGACACCAACGAGAAATTCCTGAGCTGTCATGCGTCCCCAAAACGTGCTTTGCACCGTTGCCCTACAAAAGGAGAAAATGACGTGGAGAAACCCATTAACATCTCTCGCCCACAATGTAAAAAGGAAGGATGAGGGTGTATTCTCGGGGCTTGGCCTCTCCATGCCAGGTGTTGAGGCACCTAGTGCCGCCAACCCTAAGCCCTAATCCCCAGTCCCTAGTCCCCTCGTCCCCTAAGGAAATTATAAAGAAAACACGGGCTCCACGCTCAGTCTATGTTTAGACCATGGAAGCACTCACAGGCCTTTGGATCCAGATGGTCTGTTCTGGGATGGGATCTTTGACCATCTGGTCATTTGAGTGCCCTTGACGTCTGCTGGACTTATTTGAAATGGGTGTAAGAAACTGTCAATAAACATAACATTTCCTTCCCAGCCCCCACCCAAAGTGTGGCCTAGGGTTGGCAAGTGGGATATCTCATCTCTTTGGTAGACCGACGGCGAGGGTGGTGGTAAGGAGACGTCACGGGACTGTGTAGACGCGGTGGGGCAGTGCCAGTGGGTCTGCAGTGCCTTGGGCTAGCTCCTTCCCTAGTGTCTGTAGCTTAAAATGCTCCCACATATATTGTTGCACTCATGCAACATCGTCACAAGCTCTGATGGCATCAGGGAGGCAGCAGTGAATCAGTTCAGTTCCATGTCCATGAGGGACACAGGCACAAAGCCCAAACAGCGTTAGACAGCAATAAATGCTGTGAGTAAAATAAAACTAGGTCAAGTGACAGAACGGGTGAAGGGTGGGGGTGGAGGGCTAGTTCAGAAGTGCTCATCCCCGGGCAGGCCTTTGGTGAGCCAGTGGAGGAGACGGACCCATTCATGGGAAGAACTTCCTGCAACCCCGTGAGGTTGCGAGAGGGGAGGGTTGCAGGTCTCAGTCAACAAATGAGGAAACAGGGACTTAAGATGTTAACCGGCCTATTCTAGGGACCGTCCAAAATCAAGTGTAGGGGGCCGCCTGCCTCTGTAGGAGCTGTGGGACTTGGGGTTTGCATGTTATCCCTGTGAGATCTGTACTCCTTTTGCTGGGTTAGGGGGTGGTCTTCTCGGAGACCCTCTTTCCTGTTGGATCTTTTTTGGCTCTGTGTATCCAGAGTGAGGAGGGACCCCTCAACTTCCAGAGTGCGTCAGGTGTACGTCAGGTGTGGGCGGACCCAGAAAGACCCAGCAGTGCTAGGTCAAGTTCAGACTGGAGTTTTGCTCAGAATGTCCAGTGCTGTTCACCATCCTAGATCATGGGATCACTTGCCCACGGAGAAGGTCCTTGTGTCATAGGGGAAATGTCAGGCTGCAAAAACTAACTTGTGAGGTTCCCTTACTTTAAAATTCGATTTTGGACAATACAACAGACTGAAAAATGGTAACAGGCCCGTGCCAGCATGTGATCAGTCTGCTGATCTTCCCATAATCCAACATGCCACTGTTGTTGCCATGGGGAGGAAGAATAGCATCCCCCATGAGCTTTTCTTCCAAAGTCATAAAGTTGGCCTGCTATAGATGCAAAATGTGAAGTCCCGTTCTACAGGTTGGACACTGCTTTGGGGTGACTTCACCATATTCATTAATCCATCCTCTTCACACCCTCAATGCCTGAGGTCCACTGAAGCCTCTTTCTCCAGAGAGAGATTCTAGTGGGAAATGTATGTTTGAAAGTACTTGACAACTCTGTCCTCTTTATCAGATGAATACTCCTTGAAGGGAAACTAGTATCGCCCTCAGTGCCTTCCTGTTACTTCAATTGGAATAGCAGTCACACCTCAGTCCTTGCTTTTGTGAGATGAGTGCAGTGGGCCATGGCTGTGCTGTTGGGTCTCTTGGTGCTACCTGGGAGGGTTGCGCCCTGTTACTTCAAGCCATGTCCACTGTTGGCTCAATTAAGTCAATTTACTTGAGGAGGGAGAAAAACCGCCATTGTTCTCACATTTAGCTGCCAACGAGCATTCAGCATCTGATGCTCAAGCGATAGACCCAAACCATAGCTTGTCCTCGGTGGCTCAGTCACCACGTACAACAGCGAGGCCATCAGTCATCTACGAAAGGGCCGAATGACTTCGCCTCCCCAAGTGCTTAAGGGCCGTCT